ACTAAGCAAGATCAAAATACCTGATCCACTACAAAAGACTCACCCACGGGGGTCGACTCACGCAACGACGCTACCAGAGGCTCAGACATCATACTCAAGCGAGAGGCATAGTAAATAGAAACATACGAAAAAGTAGAGCCCGAATAAAATAAATCCAATGTGGGCTGCTAACATAAAAGAATCGTACATGTGATCACATCGTCTGATGCCTCAGCCTCCGCCCTCGTTGGAGCTGCCTAGAAATGGCTACGTCTGCCTCTGCCCTGACCATCAAACCTACCACCCGACCTGCCTCCTCAGGGACCACCCCGTATAACCTGATGACCACCTCTACGATCTTGACCCTGACCACGGCCACTAGCTGGAGGTGCTGGTAAAGGTGAGGAAGCTAGCTGAGGAGCGGAAGCAATCCGACTATGCCGAGGGCAGTCCCTGGCCCAATGACCCATCTCACTACACTCATAGAAACCCTGTCGAGGGCGACTCCTAGAAGAACGGCCACCATGACCTGAAGAACCCGACTTAAACACCTCACGGCCCCGACTCGAACTAGCCTCGCTCCGACCACCATCAGATGCCTGAAGAGAGGCATGTGTAGGTCTGCTAGACTGACTATGTTGAAACCGTCGCTCAGTCCTATCATGATAATCCCTAGACCTAGGGCAGGAGTCACTGTAGCTGCCTTCATGCCTAGCCCTGTTCTCGCTGCCCCCTTGGGCCTCGCAACGAAGATAATTTATAGTACTGGCATGGTCAACTACGTCTAAAAAGGATCGACCCGCAGAAACTAAGGACTGGGACTCAAACCAAAGTTGCAATCTCAACCCACGAACAAAGTACCTAACTCTCTCCTCCTCTGTAGGTAATATCATCTCGGCATGATGGGAAAGCTTGTGGAACCTAGTCTCGTACTCTGCCACCGACATGGAGCTCTGCTCCAACCTACAGAACTGATCCCTGAGGCGGTCTCTAACGCTACAACGGAAAAACTTGGCCAAGAAGGCCTCAGAAAACTCATCCCATGATACCGGTGGAGATCTAACTGGTCTGGTCTAAATGAATGTGCGCCACCACAGCCTGGCTGGGCCATCTAGCTGGTAAGCAATAAAGTCGGCTCCTCTAGAATCCACTAGACCCAAAGTGAGAAGCCTCTCACGATAAGTAGTAAGAAACTCGTGGGCATCCTTATCCACAACCCCAGAAAACCTTGGTGGTGTCAACCTGAGAAACACACCAAGCATCTTCTGGTCCTCCAGCGGCATAGGTCTATCTGCTGCCAAGGGTTGTACTCCCTCAGGTGGTACCTAGACCTGAGGTGCCCTCACTATAGGTTGATCTTGCAGTACTGGTGCTAGTGTAGCTGGGGCGGGTCGCTACTGCATACCCCCAAGCACACCCAAGAGTTGAGCAATAGTGGTCTAGAGGTCTGAGGTCAGACCTGGTCCAGGTGGCGGCTGGGTTGGCCCTAGCCCCAACGGCTGATCTGGTATACGAGATACTGGAGGGTCTACTACTGGCTCTGGATCCTCCTCTCTCTCCTGGGCTGGTGCTGCGGCCCTCTCTCGACCTCGGGATTGGCGTCTACCCCAAGCTGGGCTCTGTCTGCAGGCCCGGATGCATCACCCCCGGTTGCGCCACATTGCGAGTGAGCCATACTGTGAAAGAGTGAAACAAGTGAGATTTTAAGAAACCAATAAGACACACACCGCACGAAAGTGAAACAAAAGATGAAATCTTCCTAAGGACATCATGTAGCCTCCCAAAGATATGTTACAGACATCTCTGCACCGATCCGCAGGACTCTACAAGACGTTAGCTCTATACAAGTGAGACCGATGAATCTGGCTCTGATACCAACTTGTCACGACCCAATTTCTCAAATCATGTTGGCACTTACTATACTACCAGTAGGTAAGCCAACCCGAAACCTAGAACATCAAGCAATGAGTGTAAGGGTAGAAACTAGCATAAACAATAAACTAAACAAGGACAACAAGGCGGAAGCAACCCAAAATAAATATATACAGAAATCTCTCCCAGAACCTGGAAGTCACAAGTACAGAGCTATCTAATAAACAGTACAAGTCCCAAAAGTGGACCACAACAGAGCGTGTCTCAAAAGAAACAAGACTAGCTAAACGAAAAGAAGGAGGCAGAACAAACCCAAAACGCCAAGTTCTCTCCCTCGTCTCCGAGTCACAACTACAAAAGAAGGCTAGAACTACTCACCGATGATAACTGGTATTGGGACCTGCATCACGAAATAGATTTAGAGCGTAGCATGAGTACCAACACAACAGGTACTCAGTAGGCATCATAGGCTGACTGAGCAAAAAGAGTAAAAACAATATGAAATGATAGAATCTAGACACGGAAAGGTCAAAGCGGATACGAAAAGAAAGCACACGAGCATACCAGAAATAAACTAAGTACAACTAAACTAAACTTAACTAGACCCCCATAAGCCCAGAATGTACACTCGTGCGCAGGTTCAAATAAAACCTGAACGGATCCCCATAAGCCCGATAGGTACACAGAAAAGCTAAGTTTATTGAGAAAGCAGAAAACCGAGATCCCAGCCCAAGACTAAGTACATCATACTTACGGTTAAGGATGAGCAAGGCATGCAACACATAGCATACAAGAATACAATAGCATTTAGCACATAAGCATGAAACTCTACTAAATCAGTTAACATGATACTACACCCGAATATGGCCAATCAATCCTAACATGAGATATCTAATCAAAGTAAGGTAGGAAACTGGTACCCACCCCCAATTCACTCTAATCGACATGCTTTTACACAATTAAGTTCAATCTTAAAAAAAGAAAGTCGTAGCCTACCTTAAGGATGATCGCGCGCGCTCCAAATTAGTTTATTAGAGTTTTTCCTTCCTGAATGACCCTTGAACGTTGTCACTCTATCAAATATAGGATCACAACGTTAGTACGATCGTTTAGACACCAAAATCATAACAAACGAATACGGGTCAATTTTGGAGTCACAATGAAAATCGTGGGACACGCACCGAACTGTCTGAAATTGACTCCGTCAAGAGATACTAAATAGCACCCCGAATTCGTGTTCCAAAATGGAACACAATTCAAGGCTCAAACCACAGCAAAAACCAACGAGCAAGAAAACCACACTTTAATCAACTTAAAAGAAAACAACAGCAGTCTAAACTCGGAATTAACGAGAATCAAAAGTTCCCAACACTCCTTGAACACTCTACGAGGTATCCACGATACTTCCCAACATGTGGGATTTCGAATCATCCAAAATCGAGCTAAAATTAGTGAGATATAACCAATACAAGAATGCCAAAAACAAAGGCTCGAAAAAGGGTACAGCAGACAGGTTAATCACGAAATTACCTCGAATTATGTGCACCCGACAACTTCAAAACACTCTACAGCGAAGCCACTGAGAATACGAAGCTCCCGCACATTGAATCACCTAAATCGGTTGAGATATGATAGAGAGATGAGGGTTTTAAGTTTGGAAAAGTTGGCTAATATATCTGCATTTATAGCAAATATTTCTATTCCAAAACATAAAAATTCCGACGGGGTGCTTCGAACTCGTTCGGAACCCTATGCACGCAAACGAGATATGCAACCATATCAAATTTGATATTCCGAACTCAATGGCGCAATCAAAATTTCCATACGAGGTCATCTTGAACAAAAGTGGGTCCCACACCCAAATGTCACTTTAAGTCAAAAACCACAAAAAGGCTTAAAAAAATATCAAAAACCTCGGGACACAAAAGAAGGTTAAATCTAGACCAAACTCGACATTCTGGAGCTAACCGCACTTACGTAATTCTCATCCGAGCACATTTACTCAGAATGTTGACTAAAGTCAAACTTAGGCTTAAACTTAAAGTTAAAACGCATAATCGCACTGATTCACACTGAAAATCTCGGGAGTCATGCCGACTATGCCACTAGCCTAAAATGACCCTTCCGAAGCTGATGGAGTCATCAAAATTAGATTTTGATGTCATCTTCTTGAACTTTTGTTCGAAAATGATCACTCAAGGTTCATAAGCTCTAAAAACACTAAAACTCGCACAAAAGCCAAACGAACGACCAGGTGACCGAACTGTCAGTCCCAGCAAGTCATAATGACTTGGGGTCGCTACAGGAACGCTCTAAACGACACACAAAAGGCAAAACACAGAAATGACCAGAAGGGTCATTACAGTACCTTGTATTCTACCTCATTCTTCTATTTAGGTGATTTCTTTTTTGGTGTTTGATGAGGAAGACGTCTCCTTACCGTTGCTAGAATGCAGATGGTTGACAATAAGTTCTTGTATTTCAAGACTTTCCTTCGTCATGCTGGACAACCTCTTTAGGGTGACTACTAATTTGGAAAATTTGATGATATTTCCTGATATGCTAATATGTTGCTTAAAGGTTGTTACATTTTATTTTTTATGTGTGTAATTCAATTTCATTACTATATTTGTTAAGCTTACCACCTAAACTGATTTGTGCTTCTTGGGTATCTATAGGACTACCCATTTCTTCATCATGAAGAAATCTTTGATTTGTTGGAATATGACTACCTCTCGTTTGAAGAAAACATATTCAAAGTTTCCTTACAGAATTTGAAGAATGTCAAGGTTATGCCATTTTGTATTTGTATCTGTAAACCTGAGACAACAAAGCTCGATCAATTCTTGAAGTTCTTACTTGAGCACGCAATAAATCTAGAGAAAATGGTTATAGTGCCAAAGCACAAGAGATGCAACAGTTGTTCTACTAATATCTCACAATTGATGAAGAGTTTGTTACTTTTTCCAAGAACTTCTATTAGTGCAATTACTTCCTTAGGACCAGTTACCAAAAATGTTTTTGACATATAGTTATGTTTCTCTCTTGTGATTATAAAGACACAAGATTGAGATGTGACTATGATTCAGCTATTGCTTGTAATTTGTTACTTAATTAAGATTGTATCCAAATCAAGTGGTTAAAAACGTAAATATGTAGTTTGCATTACTTTAAATTAAATTAAAACTTAATCTTTTGAAAGGTGGTTGAATCAGAATAAGAAATGTTTTTAAAATTATGTTGTGTGCAAGCCATTAATTAGCACAACAAAAACAGTTGCTCCCTGGGGTGCAATCAGGTCAGCTAAGTGAATATACAGGTTCATCTCATAATTTGAAAAAAATAGGATGAAATATTTGAAGACCCTTGGGTAATGGAAGCAATTATTTCCTAATCTGATGGATTTTAGTCTCATTTGCCTGACCATATCAGAAAACAACACCAAAACACTTTCGCAACTGAAGAGAAGATTCTACAGGATATCAGAACACCTTCAACGTCATCGAAAAATCAATAGTAGCTTGAAATCCTAACTTCTCACTTGTGGGTCGGCGAAACTCCAAAAAATATCATAGCAAGGGTAGCATCTATTGAAAATTGAGGTGAAGAGCAGCACAATCACCTCATGTTAGCCTTCAGATTCGAAAAATAAATCGAGATATCTTACCATGGAGTTGGTGGAGTGGATGTAAGAGTTAGTGTTTCAATTAATTTTGAAACAAATTCATCCGTTAAAAGTTTTGAAATAACAAAATACATGAATGTGAGTTGTAACATTCATTTTGTTTTAATTCTACGTTATAGATGTTTTGCAAGATACTTTTAAAATTCTACATTATAGATTTTTGGAAGTTAAGTTTTTTTCTTTTCAATTCATGAACCTATAATAAATACTATTTAATTAAAAGTTTTTTCTTGCAAAACTTTGTCCTATAAATTAAGTTTCTTTTGGTTGAAAAGATAAGCACTCAAAAAATTACTTTTCCTTGAAAAACATTTGTGAGACATTAATCAAAAGAGGAAATCACCAATTCAAGAATAGAAGAGCAACATTCTTGAATGCTACTTGTTTTGTGACTTAGTTGAATTCCGAAGATAGAGTTGTTATTTATTCTTCCGATTGTTCGTGGGAGAGACTCCAACTATCTTCAAGAAACGTATTAACGTGCCTCTAAGCCAAGCAAGTTTTACTTTAGATTCCTTGTAATTTTATCATTCTTGTTCAGTTGTTCTAACAAATTGAAGATAGTTGTCTCTATGGCATCCACATCGATAATAAACAGTGTTCAAAATTTGCCAAATCCTAATTTTGAAATATTTGATGGCAAAGACTTTCCTAGATGGCGTGGAAATATGGAATTCTTTTTAAGACGATTAAAGTTGGCATATGTTCTTGAGAAACCTTGTACTGACACTCCTGGTTCTGAGGTAGCAACAGACGAGGCTACTCTAATTAAAGAACAAATTGCCAAATGGCAAGATGATGATTACTTCTGCAAGAATTATAGTCTTGGAGAAATATCCAATAAATATTATGATCAATATTATATTAAGTGCAAATTTGCTAAGGAGATTTGGGATACTCTTAAAGGTATCCATGTAGCTGAAGAAGCAAGTTCGAAGAAATTTCTTGTTTCAAATTATATGGAATTCAAAATAGTTGATGACAAGTCAATCACTGAACAAGTACAAGAATTTCAAACTATAGCTATTAAAATTGCTATATGATCTTGATGAAAACTTTCATGTTAGTGCTATTTTCTCAAAACTTCCTCCATCTTGGAAGGAGTACAGAAGCATACTCTAACACAAGAAGGAAGATTTGACTCTTAAACAATTATTGCAGCACTTGAAAATTGAACAAGAGACACGATACCATGACAATAACAACTTGAAAGAACCTATCATGGAAGCTCATGTTGTTGAAGAAAAATCGACCAAAAAGAAACCTGACAATAATAAATTTTTGAAGGCAAAAAAGAGTAAGAATTTCAAGCTTACTGATTCCAATTCTAAGTCGAATGAAAGTTATCATTGTCATCAAATTGGTCACTATGCACGTGATTGTAAAATTCTTAAGGCTGAAAAGAAGAAAGAAAAGACAAATAATAACAAAAAAATGAGCTTGTGACAGTGATCACAGAAGCATTTGTAGAGGGAGATCAAGTGGAATGGTGGATAGATACTGGCGCAACTCGTCATATATCAGGTAATCGAAATTCTTTCACGACCTATGAATTAGTGGGGGCTGATAAAGTTTTGCATATGGGAAACTCATCCTCTGGTAAGGTTGTGGGAAAAGGAATTGTTGAACTGAAATTCACTTCCGGAAAGATGGTCACATTGATAAACATATTGCATGTTCCTGATATTCGAAAGAACTTGGTGTCAGATACGCCTCTTTCTTAGCATGGTTTTAAAATGATTTTTAAGGCAGATAAATTTATTTTGCCTAAACAAGGCATGTTTGTTGGAAAAGGTTATGCTACAAATGGAATGTTTAAACTCAATATTGAAAATGAAAATATTTCTGCTTATGTTGTGGAGTCTTTAGATTTATGGCATGAATGTCTTGGTCATGTGAATTTTAGATCCATTCAACTTATGGTGAAAAATGGATTAATTAAAAACTATGGAAAGGATCATGTTAACTATACTACTTGTAGTAAATGTAAAATAACAAAACAACCTTTTAAGTCTGTTAAAAGGATATCCACACTTTTGGAGTTAATCCACACTAATATTTGTGAGATGGATTGTTTATCACGTCACAGAAAGAGATATTTTATCACTTTCATTGAGGATTACTCAAGGTATACATATGTCTTTCCATTAAAAACAAAGATGAGGTATTTGAGACTTTTAAAACATATAAAGCAGAAGTTAAAAATCAATTGAGTTTGAAGATTAAATCAATTAGATATGACAGAGGTGGAGAATATTTAAAATCAGATTTTATTGATTTTTGTGAAAAAAGAAGGCATTGAGCAACAATTGACTATGTCTTATACACCAAAACAAAATGGTGTAGCAGAAAGAAAAAAATAAAACTTTCATCGAAATGGTTAACTCTATGTTTTATGGATCTGGTATCACTAAAAATTTGTGGACTGAAGCCTTATTTTTCGTATGTCATATTTTGAATTGAATTCCTTCCAAGAAACATGATTCATCTCCGTATGAACTTTGGAAGAATTGAAAGTCAAATATAAATTATTTTAAAGTATGGGGTTGTTTAGCTCATGTTAGATTACTATAGAGGAGTAGATTGTGTATTTATTGGTTATTCACAAACTATTAAGGCTTATAGATTTTTGAATCTTGAGACCCCAAGCCCTCACACAATTATTGAATCGTTGCATGCTAACTTTTTTTAGCATATATTTCCTAAGAAAAAAGAATCTTTGGAACAAGATACAAGTTCTTCTATATCTACTCTTAAAAGGAAAGTAGTTGAGCCTTTGGAAGAAAGTCAACCAAGACGTAGTGAAAGATCAGCCAAACCAAGAGACTTTGGACCTAATTTTCAAGTCTATTTAGTTGAAAAGAATCCCGAAAGTTATGTTGAAGCAATGTTTTCACATGATGCTCCTTTCTGGCGTGAAGCTATTGACGATGAAATGCACTCCATTATATCAAATAATACATGGATTTTATCAGACCTCCCTCCAGGATGTAAGTCTATTGGTTGTAGATGGATCTTTAGAAAGAAATTGAAATCTGATGGTACCTTAGATTAGTACAAAGCTTGTTTGGTAGCAAAAGGTTTTACTCAATTGAAAGATATTGATTATTTTGATACATTTGCACTTGTAGCTCGAATGACTTCTATTCGACTTTTGATTGATTTAGCCACAATTCATAGTCTGGTAATTCATCAAATGGATGTGAAAACTGCATTTCTGAATGGAGATCTAGATGAAGAAGTTTACATGAAACAACCAGAAGGATTTGTAGTTCTTGGTCAAGAACACAAAGTTTGTAATCTTCTTAAATCACTCTATAGATTAAAACAATCTCCCAAAACAATGGAATGAGAAATTTAGGAGAGTAATGATTTCTAATGGCTACTCAATCAATGGTGGTGATATTTGCATATTTAGTAAATTTCAAGAAAAATATGGTGTTATAATATGTTTTACGTAGATGATATGTTGATCTTTGGAACTGATATTGAAAGAGTAAAAGAAACAAAATCGTTTCTAGCTTCTCAATTTGAAATGAAAGATCTTGGAGAAGCTGATGTAATTTTGGGCACTAAAATCATGAGATCATCGAATAGCTTTACTCTTACTCAATCAAGTAATATTGAGAAAGTTCTAAAGAGATTTGGTCACTTTGACGACAAACCTGCTCCTACACCATTTGATCCTAGCATCAAACAAATGCGGAACTCTAGTGATGTTCTTGATCAGCTGACATATTCTCAGATTGTTGGGAGTCTTTACGTAGTAGGAACTTTGAAAAAATTTACTAGAAATCCTACAGTTGAACATTGGAATGCCTTAATTCGTGTTTTAAGATACCTGAACGGTACAATTATTATTGACCTGCATTATTCTACATTTCCAGTTGTTCTTGAAGGTTATAGCGATGCTACTTGGAATTCTTATCTGAATGACTCTAAATCTATTACTGCTTGGATTTTCACTTTGGCTGGAGCAACGATCTCTTGGAAATCAAAGAAGTAGACATATATTACTCACTCAACCATGGAGTTAGAATTTATAGCTATCTCTTTTGCTGGAGAAGAAGATGATTGGCTGCGATCTATGTTGATAAATATTCCTTTGTGGAGTAAGCCAGTACCACCTTTAACTATCTATTGTGATAATCAAGTTGCTATATTTCGGGATTCAAGTGATTGCTACAATGGCAATTCAAGACAAGTTCCTCTCAAACATAATAATGTGAGAAGATTATTGGAGGAAGGCGTGATATCGCTTCAATATGTGAAGTCCAGGTTTAATTTAGTGGATCCTTTGTCTAAAGAGTTAGGCAAAGAGTTAGTGGTGAAAACTTGTAATGGGAT